AGAGCTGGACACACAGACAGACAAGCCGTTAGACGCCCGATATGGATCTCCGCTAACGGCAGAGTCCGCGTCATTCCAGTTTACTAACGGGTAATACGGAGACGCCATTGTACAGAGAAAATTGTACCAAAACTGCCAGTTCATTTTGAGCGCTGTGCGGGTCATCGGTATCCGTGTGCAATGTTATGCCGTGGCTAATGATTGAAACATGTTCACTAAAATCCCTAAGGCTTTCTTAATTTATGGACTATACAATGAAGAAGACTTGTTAGAAAGAGTATTTTCTTCCGCGGATGGTATCATTCTCGGAATTTTAATATTCGACTTGGCTGACGAAAAAATGGCGGTAATTTATCATAAAATGGGAATATTTTCAACGATTAGAGCGTTTTTTGCTGCTGCCATGGAAACGAAACACAAATCCGGACTTCCGGTAAAACGCACATAACTAGGTTGACAGTATAACCTACGGGTGAAATTTCCTTTAGATCGGTCCAGCCGATAAGACGCCAGAGCTGGACACACAGACAGTCAGAACGACCGATAATAAGGTTCTCCTATAGCGGAGATCCAACAGAACAGTAATCGGTAATTATTGACTCGATTTTTTTTATGTGAATAAACTTGCCTTTTATGTTATATCTAAATACTAACGTAAATCGTAACTTGGCTGGTACGTAAGTCTCGTAAAAACGTTTTCGTCCCGCGATGAATTTCGCGACCCTGAAAAGGTTGGTGACCTACATTAAATATTCTACTACATAAATTTCTAATTTGGTCGTTGCGGACTCATTTGAACGCTCTGCGGACTCATTTGAGACCGCGGACTCGGGTTGGGAAACACTGTTCTAAGCATTGAGCTGCAAAGCTAGTAGTGACTGATATCAAGTATAGTTTTAACGTATTTTTACGCCTCTTATTTCAGGGTCTGAATATATTCAAATCTAATAATTGACTCGGTTTAGCATCTTATTTACTTATCGATTTTAATCGGTAAGTATGTTAATAGATATTTGTCTGTCTGTCTGTTAGATGCACGCGATATCTCACGAAAGCAAGATTGAATCTGCTCCAGATTTTGCATGTGCATTCATCATATGTCGTACCAGAAGCCTATTGATTTTGGATGAATTATGTCGTATAATTAGCGAGTTGTTATCAATTAATTAGTGATGGGACACAAGGTGTCACTATGGAATAAGAGCGCTGTTTTGGGGGATCGCCTAACTTTCGATCGATAAGTCTTCGGTCTCTAACCAATATTCTCGTTTTGATTTTTGTTGTGTTTTATCTGAAATGAAAAAAAGCGCCCAGGTCGTTTGGCGGTGGAATCCTTTTTGTGAATAAAAAAATACTTTCAACGAATACCTTTCACATCGTTCCCAAATATAAGCCACGGTCATTGCCTCGATCGTTAAACTGTGAGTGACGTGTCGGCTCAAGATTTAAACCCAATGTAACTGACATCTTGTACTCCAACAGCAAATTTTGGTTAATTTATATCCGGTTTAAACAGATTAGCTTCAAAAGTATGATTCATATTTGAGCATATATAGAGCATAAAAATATTGACGATGCGATGCTCAATAATTTATCAGCGACTCCTCTATGGTTGTCCCCGCACTGAACCTCATCGCTCACCAGATGCCACTCACTGCAAGTCATACGCATAAAAGTTTATCTGCTCAGTAATCTCAATCGCTATACTTGTCATTTGAGCTCATGTTGGTTCAAAAATTGTACTGGCTGGGTTTACATTTTATGAGGTTGAATTTTTGAATTGCCTGCCCCGATGCCAACTTAATTACAGGTACCAGGTAAAATACCTACACGAATTCCCCAGACGAAACGTAATAGATTGTATGCTTTATGTCGCTCAATGAGCACTGATCCAATTTGTAATCGAGAAAATGGTTTCGATTTGTATATTTGAGCCCTGCGTACGGAGCTAGAAATCACCTTGCGTAACATTTCATGAGAAAGAGATAAAGCACAAATATTGTGCTGGGCACACATATTATGCCATTCTGGAAAAATTTAGACAATGCTCAAATATATAGATACGAAAGCCAAAATGAAGTAGATATTCAATTTTTCACAGTACTTGTACCCGACCGTAGTCTTACCGACCTCGACTGAGAATCATATTGCAATGATCGCGAACGCGAACTCGGAATCGCAACGAGGTGCGTAATTTTTAATTTTAACTTTGTGTCTGACAAGCTTACAAAAATCGATTGCCATTAGAAAAAAATACTCATTGTCATAAGAATAGTATTGCTGTTAGAATTTATCGTATTTAATGTTTTTTATTGTCAATTATGATTCAATTTGTGCTTATCGAATAAAAATACCGCTTGAAAGAGAGTTGACCCAATACAAAATCTTTGACCTTGAAAATGAATAGCCCTGTGGTTAGGAATGAAATCACATAATTTAAAACGGAGACATTATGCAAGGCAACAACTTTGGGTGGATATGGCATAAACATACATATTCCTTTTATGTGTTCCTTTATAATGTGTGCGATAGAATACTTTAAATAAATATGCAATGGTAGTAATCATTGAAAAATGATTTAAAACTTTACCTATAATAATATTTTACTTAAACTGGAATAGATATTAGATATTGAAAAAGCATGCTCCATTGTAGGACAAATGAGACAAGTGCAAGGCATGTGTGGGACAAGTAAGCAACGTCATTTTTGATACATCCTGTCAACAGTGTACCAAGAAACATGAAACACCCACGTTGATTGATTATTCCACGTAAAAAATGATTAAGGATTAAAAATGTACGGCATCAATTATGTCTTTGATTTTTAACAAAAAAAATTTGTTTTAAATTATTCGAGTTACACAAATATATTTGTGCTAGTGGTAGCAAAATTCTTACATCACCCAGAATCGCTGTTTTTCAATCTTACTTTGCATCTTTTCATTAGGGTATAGGGGAAGCATAGGCAAGGATAAATAATTAGCGCCAGAATCACAATAGACAAAGCAAAATGACGCTTGCATTAGTTTTTATTTCAAGTCTGAATTTCCAATCTCGCCTGTTTTCTACTAGGGAAAGGTTCTACTTCAATAATTTCAAAAATGCTATTCCCGCTTCCATACCATTGGACGCAACGCAAAATAGCCACCGACAAGTAGAGAGAATTACCATGTCTCCGTTATCCTGGCCATTCTGGATAAATACATAAATATATATATTTCCCAAGCTCTCGCTATATTGTTCTTGTTTGCCTGAATGGCTCATAAGAAAATGATTTGATATATTTCTGTATTGTTTGACAAACAAAATCTTTCAATTTTAAAAGAATTTTTCACTATATTACGCAATGTTTGGAAAGCATTATTTCAATATTTATTAGTTTGCAATGTAAATAGACATAAAAAGTCATCTGACATTACAACGGATAATCGTTAAAGGCCAGGCAGTTGTTTAGCGAGTTTGCCTCATTCAGTGAGCATATCAAATAGAACAGTGGTTCCCACTATTTATTACCACAGCTTATGGCGACTCATCTAGTTATTTTCTACAATGTAATTTTATTTTTGATGAATGAACTCAAAAAACATCAAAAAAAAAACATAATGTTATTCTTCAAAGGAAAATAAATCTAAATCCTGTCTAAATTTCGGGGAAACACGGTAAGAAGTGCTGTACAGTGTACAAAACTGCTATACACAAAAAAGCCACATGGTCATTCTTTGTGTAGCAAATTTTTGTTCCTTTGAAAAGATTGTAAAAAGGAAACTTTCACAGATTAGGATTAAAATTCAATTTAATTTCTTTTGTTTTTTTGAAGATTTACGTATTCGAGTCGCCACCGGTCCTAATAGCCAGTATAATTAATCAAAGCTTTCTTCATCATTTAACGACTCACTAAGATTCCTTTTGCGACCTACCAGTCGCGACCCATAGCTTGGGAACCGCTGAAATAGAATATTTCAGGTTTATGTCAGAAGATAGAAATTGTGGGCAAAGCTGTTTATTTATTCGTATAGTTTATTCAGGTAGGACTCATATATAATTGACGTTATAAAGACTTGGACTACTAATTTGATAGGAACGATGGCAAAGTGATATGATTAAACAATGGTTAAAGCTCCAACAATTTACAAAAGACAGGAAGGGACAGTCGTCGAATGGTAAAAAGCGCTTCGTTAAGAGTCTAAAAATACGATCTGACATAAAGTCTACATTGGCTATATCAATATTAAACTTATCTTCTATAAACCAGTAACCAGGGTCAAAAATTTTTACAAATGTGCGTTGAATTCAATAAAACAAGCTGCCATACTGATACAATATGCATCCAAATAGGGAGTCTCGACTCGAATTCGAGTATCGTATTCATTATTAGTTCATGCATTTCATACGAACACCAGGATATACCTTTCTGAAGCGTTACTTCAATACGCTTCGCTACACAAAAGCACAACCTACGACGGCAAAGTAAATGTTCACAAACGATACGACTTTGAGAAAGTTATAATTATTGTTGTTCTTTTTTTTTACTAGGTAACTAGGATAGGCTATGATTTGTTGGCTATGCCTTTACCATGTACGACGTAGTTACGTGAATTCGTGGATTTCCCGACCGCATTTGGTAAGATTTTTTAGTCACAGCTTTTATGTACTAAGAGAACAACAAGCCACCAGACAAGCACATGCCAATTTCTATTTTCATCATCGATGGTAAAACTTAGTGGTGCAGTATATTGAACTAAATGACTAACAACTTAAGTTCTTGATTTTTCGTAGTTCGCCCATTCCTGTTTTACAACAACATGTCAAATATGAGATAATAACATGTAATTCTTCTAGTTGTAGCGTTTTTAAACTTCAATAAAAAATTGTTCATTTTGACAATTAATTTAAATATACATGCAGTTAAGAATTTAGCAAATTTACTTTACAGATACATACAGTTGGAAATTTTAGGTCAAGACAAGAAATAAATTTGAAATCGAACCGACCAAAAGAAAATGGCCAATACAAAGCCAAAATGCCAAGAAGAAGACAACCCAGCAATATGCAATGCGTGCGATCATGTACAAAATTTCCCAGGAGATAATGAGGTACGTTTGACTGGTTTGAATAGCTCTACATTTGTCGCTTCAAAAATATATTTACCTTTAAGGAGGTAACTGATTTTGTTCGCTTACTTTACATCAAGTTGTGTGAGGGAACTGAAACCTATGGACAGGGGGGATATTTACTTGGCTAACACAGACATTCCCTGATCTTGTAATAGAACTAAAATAAGGAAAAGGAATGAAATTATGGCTCAACCCAAACCTGGTACACACACTACGGGGGTACCCTATATTTTTACGTCGCCCACTTGAGCATTGAGCAACGCCTTGATATCTCACTTTTAAAAATCTAGCTCCTTGGGTTTGTGAATCAATATTTTTCTCTGTGTTATGATAGCAACAGAATATATCTAATTTAAACGGCGAGTGATGGCAGGCCCAGACCGACCAGTTAAAACGACTAGTAAATTTAACGACCAGTTGACGACTATAGTTGAATATACCGGCGACGTGTCACTTGTATCTGATTTCTAAAAACAATTTTCTGAAACTATTTCGAATAAAATTTAGCCGAAAGCTGCGAGTAAAATATACGAACACTTTTATATTTATTTTTTGTGGTGTTTTATACTTTGGGTTGAAACACTGTGTTTTAAAAAGAATTATGTTCACAAGGATCTTTGGGAATGGCATATCTATTTTGTAAAACCTCACTGAGACGGGGAGTCATGGGTAGTCATGGGTAGTCGTACAGGGAATTGTATGTAAGAAAGGCGCTGGTAAGCGCTGTATAAAAAAATTAATAAAATGATAAAATTGCAGGCTGTGGACAGAGAAAATCGTCACGCTAATAACCGAATTGCGTAAGTCGTTTTTGACGATTTTGAGTTTTTCCATGAAATAGGTATTTATGTATTGCTGCGCACCTGTCTGTTAACTCAGATTTTATTTTAAGAATTCCGAAACCCATAAAAATGGAGATTTAGTATGACATGCCCATTTGTGCAATTGTTTCGTCATAATGAATTATCATTGTTACAGCAGGACTATTGTGACAACACAAAGGCAAAATAACCCCGGCGAAGTATTTTCGAGTTTTTGCATCTCGGATTCTAGATTAGCGCGTATTAATTTGAATTTATACTACAGTATAAGAAGGCGTGCACTTGTGATATTCATTGTCCGAGTCCAATTCACCTTGGTTTGCTTTTATATTGGGTGCATTGCTGTTTTATTCTTTATATTTAATCTTAGTCTTCTTTCGGTGGATGTGCAGAACGTGTTATATTATTGAAATATATATTTTTAAACATAAAAAATAATGTATTTGAAACTGATTAGCTATTTTGGGGCTTAGACATTGTAGATACTGAAAATTACATTCGTTTTTGAGATATTTAGTTTTCAGGACTGGTGCATATAGTAAAGTTGCAAAATTGCGTATGTCCCCAAGTCATAGACACATTTCTGCCTAAGTCACAGTGCGCCATTATGACGTCACTTAACTGCGTCATACAAATTAACTTAAATCCGGCTACGATCAAAAAATTGAACCATGACAAATTATTGACTCTCAATGGCATAACAATATCATTAGGAAGTTTTTTACGTTTTTTTCAAAACTGCTAAAAATGACTTACACAATTCGGTTATTAGCGTGACGGGATACAATGAAAGAAGAACACAGGATAAACAAAGAACCTTGAACATTTTGTTGCTCGCGGGCCAAAATTGAAGGTTGCAAGTCTTGGCGGGCCACACAAATTTTTGGAAAGTTAAAAACCTAACAGCGCGCGAAGACTACGACAATTCGTGAACTTAACTAAGTCGTATTATTTAAAAAAAAATACAAATGACATTTCTTGTTGCATTAAACGTTTTCTAAATGGGCATCACTAATGCGATTTCTCAGCTTGTTTCTTGTAATGTTCAATTTCGACAATATTTGTTCATACGCATATGTATTTCCAAACATCGCTGTGAATGTCTTTTGCATAGTTTCTCAAATTCAGATAGCTACTTTCTTCAAGGAGATACTTTTCATAAACATCAAGCAGTGATACAACTCTCGAAAAGAATATGGATTTTTTTTCCCATCACACATCTCAAGGAGCTCCATTTGAATATTTTTTGCGCCATTGAACCCCTTTCCACAGCATCAACGTTTTTGCGTGTTGCCATTTGTCAACGCATAATTAAATTGTACGCTCGGTAAACGAGAAGCTAGCTGTTCAATTAATTGTTAGTTTAGTCTACACGAGCCTCACAATAAATCCTTTTACGTTAATAATATAATCAACTCCTTGAACGTAGAATATATATATTAATTCATCGTCAAAACCGCCGTTTTGTCGCTTCAATCCAGTGAAGCATGACGGGCCGTATTATGTTACTCTGCGGGCCGAACTAACCCTAGGGCCGTAGGTTGCCGACCCTTGGATTTGATCTTACAACAGGGGTCGAAACCTACGGCCCGATGGCCGGATCCGGACCGTGGAGTAATACAATCCGGCCCACGACGCTTCGATAAATTATAGTAACAAAGCTGTTTTGACGATTATATTCTGTACGTAACAGAATTTATTGTGATACACGTGCAGACTAAGTTATATTATAACTAACAAGTATAAAATTCTCCATTACTCGTTTAATGAGCCTATAATTTAATTATAATTATATAAATGACAACAAAACGCAGGAAAGTTTATGCTAAGTACAAAGGGTTCAATGGCGCCGAAAATATTCAAATGGAACTTGTTGAGATGCAGTGTAGAAATAAATCTATATTCTATTCCTGAGATGTATCACTGCTTGATTTTTATTATAAAAAGTATCATCCACTCGGTCTTCAACTTCCTAAAAATATGTGCGGATCGACAATGACTTGCAACCCTTAATTGTATTGACGTAATTATTTACATTAACAGAAAAATCTTGATATCCAACAAATACAAGGCAAGAGAGCATTTCCTGCAGCGTATTATTGCGTTTTGTTCCTCGAGATGCTGCTAAAGAGACATTCCCGAGCAATCGGCCACGTCCGGTTCGCCTTATTTGTTTGTTAGACGATTCCCGGAAAAGTTATTATCCATTTTGTTGAAGCCAATTATGCTGAAAAGATAATTCTCAAACATATTCATTAGAATGTTCAAAAACCTATTTCAATATCAACTAAGCATTAATGGTAGCTAAGACTTATTTGTCGAATGTTACATTCTTTTGAAATCTGCAGTATTTTGATTCTTCCAACCAATGTTTTCCAAACTTAACAGCTTGCGAACCAGGGGCGACACGAAGCTATTCGTAGTTTTCAGAACTATATTCGGACAGTTCAAACTCACCAAATATTTGGAGACTATGCTTCATTGCTGACATCTGCTGAACAGAATGAAGTTAACAAAAGATGCCAGGAATTGGAGCAGATGCTCAATGAAAACCAGGTGGAGAATTTATTTATTTTAATCAAACAAAAATATTGCTTCTCCCTTTCAAACTTCAATTTTGGATCATGGATTTCGCTATCTTGTCTGATTGGTATAATAGTCTGAGTAACAGGAGCGGGCAATTGTTTTCGGTTGCGTGCCACATCGTGGCCACGGATGTTAGCTGGGTGCCGCAATAAAAAAACTGTTATTAGGAAATAAATCAATGTAGGTTTTTCACTCTTTTCTCACAAATGCACTTTCAAGCACAATTTGCTGCTCAATAATGCAAGAAATATGATTCAGGTAACATTTTTACATATTTTTGTGTTGTTTAATTCACAAAAAATATTAATTTCACAATTAATTTACAGAAAAATCTCGATATTGGAACAATTGATGCCGAAAGACGAAGACTTGAAGATTTTATTGAAAGTCTTATAGAAAGTTTGGAACATAAATACCAGGTAAACTTACTCAAAAGGAATTACTTTGTAATAATCTTGAATAAAAATGAAAAACACGAATCCAATCTCCAAAAGATGCCGAACAGCCAAAGTTCTTAAAAAATCGGAATGTCCCCGACTATTAACTGTTAAATGTAAATTTCTTGCTGAAGATCTGATATTTTTTTTGAAATGTGCAATATATGTGCAGTTTTAACACCATTCATGTGTGGCCGGGGTCGAAAGTTTGAACTATCCGGAGTAGGAGTACAGAAATAAAATTTTATATTTCTGATAGCCGGGAATTATGGGCAAAATATTTAAAAATAAAAACATCGTAAATTAAAAATTTCATTTTAAGGTCAGAAACTGGTGTTTTAAATCTATTTTTTTTCCACTCGGTGTCGAAAGTAGTAGTTATAGCCGGATTATAGCTTTTTGAATGCCTCAATGTGATGTTCGGATCAAACTGTTCTCTCCAAAAAAGCTCATAACCAACTCAACCCCATCGCACAATGGAAGTGGTTTTAAAACATAAACTCATTTTAATACCAGGAAGAGAAAAGAAAGAAAAAACAAGAGTTACGTGGCGCGATTCAAAATTTCCGTGATGACATTCGTTCTGTCAAACAACATGAAGTATTCAAGCATTATCAAAGATTTTTGAAATCAGAAGACCAAAACAAAATTCATAGGAATTGTGCCGCAGTAGAGAAATTTCTCAACGACAATACGGTTGGATTCTTAGTTTGTACTTGCCTACATTATCATTCCTACTTTTTTGCTCAATATACTATTGATTCGGTTTCTACATTGCTTACTACATATCCTGCTTCTATGTATTTGCGGTGAAGGATCTGGGGTGATGGATAAAGAATAAAGATGACTATTCTGAGTCATTTAAACGTCTTCTTGTATACTAACACAAATGTGGTTGGAAACTTTCCTCTCTCAGTCTTAAATTATGCTCGTTGAAGTGAAGTTTGATTCCGGTCTGACGAACTATACAAAAACACATTTGTGTCAATACGCATATGTTTCGTTTTTCAGATTTTACAAATGAAAATCTATACTTTATGTACGCGCGGGCTGGTCGTTAATTGAACCCTGTTTTATCATAAGTGTTCCAAAACTGTTTTCCATTAAAAATTCGTTCCAAAAAATTGCTTGTGCCAATTTTCAAATTAGTGTTTTGGATGAAAAGTAAATAAGTATGTAAGAGAAAATGTAAAACATTTATGGAAATGAACTGTTTATTTACAGGAAAACCTCGAACAAATACGCAAACAACACACAAAGTTCACACGTTGTGTTGAAAGTATGTTGAAAAAGCTGGAAAACCAAGCTGAGGTAAATGCATTTAAAATATTTTTGTATGAGATCATTATGCGTCTCCTCACCAGCTAAGTTGCCAATGATCCCATTTTGGGAAAAATTTCTATGTTTTGGCATTGCTCATTATACCCTGCGAAAGGTGGTTTCTCCCATAGTGTAAAGTTGGAGACGGAGCGTTAACTCTTAGTCGGGATTCGGTTTTAATATTATATTATCAAACCAAAAAATATTTGGAACACAAACTTTTGGAATTCAAAGTTTCATCACTCGGTTGTCTGTAGTACTAATCCAGTTTTATTTTAATGCAAAGTTGGGAGATGGAGTTGCCTGTCCAAAGGTGTCGTAGCCATGCTTGGAACGAACACTTCTCTTCCAGCCCACACCCTTTATTTTTCAATTTTCAAAACATGCTTTAATTTTAATACCAGGAAGAGGAAAGAAAGCAAGAACAAGAATTACGTGATGCAATTCAAAGATTTCGTGATTACATTCGTTCTGTTCAACAACATGTAGTTTTCAGGCAATATGAAACGTATATAACACGTGAAGATCAGAACGAAATTCATGAAAAATGTTCTGCAGCAGAGAAATTTCTCGATGACAATCTGGTAAGTTTACTGGTTTGTACTTTTACTTAAATTATCTCTCAGTTTTTTTTCTGGCGAAATCAGAACTATCGACATGATTTATGTAATATCGTACTTAACATATACCTAGTTGTTACTATACATATAATTTTCCTTTTTCTATTTTTTTATTTGCATAAGAAAATATGATTAAAACAGTCACTCAGTTGTAAAGCAGATGAATGTCTGAGCAAAGTTACGAATCACGGAAGTGCCAGGTACTACGAAAACGAAGCACTTTTAGCACTCATAGATTCCAAATCCCCTTATGTTCACGTGCCTCGGCTAGGAACCGCTGCTATGATGAATTATCACGCTTCGCGTTACTAATACCAATTAACGGAGGCGAAGTTCAGCCCAATATGCTTGTCATAGTAAATTATGTATGTCTGAGGAAGTCTGACTCCAGTCTTTGCGTTGATGCTTAGCCTGACAATGTAATCACACTTGGATAAAGCATGTGCATAAATAAAGCATGCGTTTATATAAATAAAAAGTACAAATTAAATAAAAATTATTTGCAGAAAAAACTCAACCTCGAAAAAATACATGAAAGACATTCAAAATTCAAAAAGTTTGTTCATGATATATCGAACAGGCTGCACCAAGCTCAGGTAATTAAGGTGAATTATTTATATTTACTATGGTGTGTTTTCACAAGCCTACAAGGCTAGCTGTGGCTATCACTTACACTAACCATGAATGCCTAACGCAAAATCGCTCAGACACCGGTATTTCTCATCTTACTGGGTACTGGATAATCGTTGTAGTGTCATTTTGAATTCTCCAGAGTCAAAAATGAAACATTCAAGTTTATTGAGCGTTTCTAACAGTTTATTCATATGATCTTGCATACTCCAAAGTTTTTGTTAGTCGGAGTCAGGAACGATTTTTTCGACTTGGAGTTGGGAATCGGAGTCGAATGTAAAATGTCTTCGACTCCTCGGCCCTGTTGTGATCGGGGCTTTCCATATTTTCCGTAACTGTATTTTAAGCGATAAATTTGACTGTAAATTATGGACAGACTGGTAAACATCAGATTATTTTTAACACAGGACGCATATCTAAAACGGAAAATGCAAGAAAAGCAAGAGGAAAAGGAAGCCATTCTGAAACAGAAAAGGGAAGAACAGCAGGAGAAAAATGAAGCAATTCTGAAATTTCAAGAATATATCCGTTCGGTTGAAACATATACTGAATTCGGAGATTACCAACGGTTTTTGGAATCAGATGACGAACAATCCATCACAATGAAATGTATTAGATTGAAGACATTTCTCAGTGTAAATCCCGTGAGTAATTGTTAAATTTACATTCCTCTTTGGTGGCTGGATCTTAATCAATAAAAAGATGCATTGAAGGATGAAGGATGAACTGAGGATTCTCAGCCTTCATATTTTATTGTTTACCCTTGGGCAAATTTCAAAATTACACTTTATTCTGCAACTGTGTTATTCTATTATAGAGTGATGTAAGACCTAAGTGAAATATGATAACCGGCATTTGACTGGACAATCTTTCCGCAACGGGAGTATAATAAACATCAATTGAGAGTACTTTGCAATATTACGTGTGGTTAACAGCCACATTTAGTTATTTACTAATTATTGAAAAAATATTATCAAAAAATTCACGTTCTATTCACTTATATAAAACATGCCCTCGATTGAGAACCCCCAGATTTTTATCATAATTTAATTATTATTAGTTTATAAAACAATTGGAATGTTAAATTTTAAATTGTTAAAATTTATATTTTTCTTTGCAAAATATATTCAATGGGGAGAAATAGATAGTTCAACATTTGATAAAAATTTCCTTTTTTAGGAAAAGCCTGACATCAAGCAAATACAAAGTGCAAAAGGAAAATTTAGAACTTATGTTGAAGGTGTTTTGGAAATACTACAAGAGAGTGCGGAGGCAAGTGTAGTTGAATAAATGTTTTTTAAAGTTCTATAAACTTTATTTTAGTGTAAAAATTAGTATGAATTTAGTTTTAAAGCTGCTACTATTTTTAGAAGTCCGCATTGTTTACAAATTTAATGTACCTTTAACAAAATGACAGGCATGGGATTTGAACCGAAATATTCACACATTTTACTCGGAGAAGGTCTCTAAACAAACTGAAGTTTAGACATACAAATTTGCTAAAATTCGTTTTAGTTTAGCACAGATCTCTGAATTTAACGTGAGAAACAAATAGCTTGGTAACGTAGGGCCGCGTTTGTTTACAGTTTTTTTTTTATGTTGTTACTACATCAATAAACATTAGGTTGTCATTTTTTCAAAGATTGTAAATTTTGAACCTTGTAAAATTTCAAGATTGCATAGTTTGACAAAAATGATATTTTATTTTTAACACCATTTTTTGTTTTTCTTAGACGTGGCTGTAATCAGATGTTATTGTAAACAAAGTCTTTGTTTTTCTATATCGAAGTGTATTAAATTTCACAGAACGCAAAATTGCAGCAGCAAAGGAAAGAAGAGCTGAACAAAGCGATTGAAAATTTCCATCAGTATATTCAGCATCAGCATTCTGCATTCAAGCCGTATGAAACGTATTTATTTCAAAATGACAAACACTTAATTGATGGAAGATGCGAGGAAATGAATACATTTCTAAATTTGGTGGGACTTTGTAATATTAACATGTATTTTATACATTTACAAAAAACAGAATCTTCGTGGTCGTGGTTTAGCGTATAACTCCTTTTTTTCGGAAACAAGCCCTCCCTCCCCCTTTTTCATACTCTTAGCTCCATGCTATACTTCTATAGTGATGAATTTTTTTATATTTTTGTCAGAATTAAAAATGTAATTGAAATATTGTTTTTAGAAAAACCTCAACATCAAAGGAATAGAAGACAAAAGAGTAGAATTTGAAGCTTTCGTTAATCGTGTACTGGACAGTCACAAACACAAAGCTCAGGTAAGTGTATGTATCTGTGTTATGGGAGAGGCGTACGTGCCTGACATCGGATTGAGTATAAGGTCTGCTAAACAAAAATAAACAGTGCCTAACTCGCAGATAGACGACACATAATGAAATTATGGAACGTTTGGCGAAATTGTTGTTGTTTTTCTTTACAAAATTTTTTTTTCTCCGCATTTAATTGACGAATCGCTTTCAATACTTAAAGATGGAAAACGTCGCTATCAGAATATTACTTTATATAAATATTTTCAATTTTTCTCTTGTGTCGTACGGGATAGATGTTCACCACGGGCTATCGTGTCAATCTTTACAACAAACCTAGTTCTCAACTAAAGGCTTTCCGGCACTGGTGTGATTTGCTTTAAAGATCAACGTAGAATCGTTGATAATAAGCTTATTATCAGTCGTTGCGTCATGTTCATGTATTTATTGCCCTTTTATGAATAAATGTTTTTTTGTTTCATCTCATTTATTAATTTACTGCACAGGATGTCTCTAACTAAGGGATCCCTTCACATTTTAATTTTGTTAATAAAGTCAGTTTTCAATATATCTTAACCAGGTTTGTTGTTTTTTAATCAGTAGTTGTTTAAGTATTTTTACTTCATTTAATACATCTGTGAGGGCCGAACAATATATAGTATCGATGAAGTCCATTATCGATTTTGAAAATTTTTAAGACTTCATGGTATTTCCCTGTGTTATCCCGCGGGCCGCACCTTTATTTAACATAGGCTTTCTGATAATTTCAGGCACATGTTGGGTATTGATCTTATAATATGCCTTATTCGCGTCGTACAAGCTAGCTGTTAGGCCATTGTATCGTCATAGGAATAGATAGATGATAAGTACAATGTAAAAATTAGTATGAATGCAGTTTTAAAATTTATGTTTTTACCTATTTAAACCTATTTGCCGATATCAAGGGTATTCCTTGTTTTTTTCCTCATTTGTTTTTATAAGAGTAATGTTTCACGACTGCGTGTGTCTTCTCATATGTGAGCCGCTAGTCGGCATTATTTGCAAATTTATTGTACCCCGCATAAAGCACAGGTATGGGATTTTATCCCAGATTTTCACACATTTTACTCGGAGCATGGCTTTAAATAAATTGTCGTTCAGACATACATATTTGCTGAAATTCGTTTTAGTTTAGCACAGGTCTCTGAATTTAACTGGAGAAAGAGATAGTTGGTAACGTAAAGCTGCGCTTACAGGTTTTTCATGTTGTAACTACATCAATAAACATTAGGTTGTCATTTTTTAGGATTGTAAGATTTAATTTATATCACATTTATCTTGTTTTCTCAGACGTTGTTATAATTAGATGTAATTTTAAACAAAGAAAACCCACTGATTTCTGTATCAAAGTATTTTAAAATTTTACAGAACGAAAAACTGGAGAAGCAAAGGAAAGAAGAGCTGAACAAAGCAATTGAAAATTTCCAGCAGTATATTCGTTCAGTCAAAGAGCATTCTGTATTCAAGCCGTATGAAATGTATTTATTACAAGGTGACAAAGACTTGATTAATGGAAGATGCGAGGAAATGAATACATTTCTAAACTCGGTAAGATTTATTCGAAATATTACTTTGTGTTATGCATTTTCGAAAATCAAAAACTTCGTGGCTGATGAAATAATCTCATTTGTCTTGGTGAGATTTCATTACAGCGATTTATTCAACACATAGTCATGATATATGATCCAGCTCACTCCTATAACATAAAAGTTTGTTAATAAGCTAAAACTGAAAGTTTTGTCCCCAACTCTTAGAGTTACCGGTACGTCTCTTTTGTTTAACCCTTTTCTTTTTTCGGAAACAAGTCACGCCCCTAGTTAGAAACAAAACGACGCTGACTACTACTGTCAACCCTGTGCTTGACTGCTAGAGTGAGAAATTTTTTATCATTGTCAGAAAATGTAATTGGAATATTATTTTTAGAAAAAACCTCAAACATGAAACGGATAGAAGACAAGCAGCAGAATTTGGAGTCTTCGTTAATCGTGTACTGGATGGTCTTAAACCAAAGCTCAGGTAAGTGTATGTTGCTGCATTATGGGAGAGGCATACGTGTCTGACATCGGATTGAATTTAAGGTTTGCCAAAAAAAAGTCAACAGTTTCTATCTGGCAGTTAGAAGGCACAAAATGAAATTATGGAACGTTTTTCAAAATCGTTGTTGTTGTTCTTGGCGTTGGCGATGACAAAAAAAAATTCTTTGCATTTAATTGACCAATCAATTTTATTACATGAAGATAGAAAACGGCGCGACATAGTTTTTTTCTAATATTGCTAACAAAGTAATTCATGATCTTGAACATGCAACTATATTATAAAATACAGCTTGATGAACAGAAGAGAAAATATGAAGAACAGAAAAAAATTGAAGAGATTCAAGATTTCCAGAAGTTTATTGAGTCAGTGCAAAGTTATGCAGAATTCCAGAAGTATGAGGAGTTTTTATCTGACAATGACAAAAAAGAAATCGATGATAAATGCGTTGGGTCAGAGGAATTTCTTAAAAAAAAACAGGTCAGTTAATCATTTGAAATTTGCAATATTAAAGTAAAAATGAATTCTTTATACATATATATATATATATATATACCTCGTTAGTACATATCCTATCAGTAATTTTTTATTTTTCCGCTTTGAGCTTATTTCAAATATACTGAGTAAATACTGATAGGATATAGAAAAACTGACAGTGTAAGTCTTACTTACGTAATAATTAGGTGAACTGTGTAAGAGCTTTAGTTAAAAAATGAGCCGACTGTTCATAGGCAAGTCTCATTATCAAATTTCTTTTTGTTTAATCATTACATCCAGCTACCTTAGTTCTTTGTAATAAAATATCTTCAATCTTGATGTATTGACGTGATTATTAACATTAACAGAAAAAGCTTGATATCCAACAAATACAAGACAAGAAACGTGAATTGGAAGATTTTGTCAAAAGTCTGATGGAGAGACTAAAACAAAGATATAAGGTAAATGCGTTTTATTGTAATACTATAAAGGCCATTTATTTTTTTTTTTAAAATCAAAAGTACAAGCTTATTGAAACTCATAGATACATATGACTTTCTGGCCATTTCTTTTATTTATTGAAAATTCATCCTAATTCTCTAACAATACATCCAAGATCCAAGTGAGCACACGAATTTTCCAAGTCACATAAGATAACCTTTTGACAGCTTGAAAAGCAGAAGAAAATGAAACAAGAACAGAAAAGACTTGAAGTGATTCGAGATTTCGAGCAATATATCAATTCAGTACAAGATCACACAGTATTTCAGAAATATGAGAAGTTTTTATCTCATAATGACAAGGAAGAAATAAATATCAAATGTCTTGAAGCGAAAGAATTTCTCAAGAAACTTCAGGCTAGTTTTTTGAACTATCAATATTAAAAAGCATCAAAATAAATTTAAATGTTACCATTTAGCAATCTTTTCAAACTTGTTTTGACTGCTATATATTGATATTTCTGTCACTGGTATAAAGCTATATACGTTCACCTCGTTAGTACATTTTCTATCAGTACTCTTATTCCGTTTCGGGTCTTGCCTTAAGTTTATTAAAACATACTGAGTATAAAAAACTGAGAGTGTAACTATTATTTACATAATAATTAGGTGAACTGTGTGAGCGCTTGGTTAAAAATGGACCGACTGTTTAAAGGCATGTCCCAATACATGTTTATTTAGTCAATCCATGCAGTTACGTCAGTTTTTTTGTATTAAAATGTCGGCGATCTTGAAGTATTGACGTAATCATTTACAGGGAAATCTTGATACCAAACAAATAAACGAAAAAAGATCTGAATTTGAAGATTTTGTCAAAAGTCTGAAGGACGGCCTAGAACAAAAATATAAGGTACGTATATATATGATTTAATACTTCAATTTTATCCTCTAAATGTCATTCTACATGCAATATTATATTTATTTTCGATTACTTAATCAATATGATCTGTGATCGAACCAATTTAAAGTTTAGTTTAATATTTTCTATTTTAACCATAATTAATATAATAAATTGATTGCTATATTTGTAATATCTGTATACTTCAAATGCGCACAATCTCCTACCTTGCCTCGTTCTCGAAACTCTTGTAACATTGAAAATATTTCTGGAACAAAATTTAACAAACAAGTTGAATAAAATATAAAGTCTACTCTACTAAACTTGAGGTACAAACTGAATAATTACAATTTATTATAATGATTACAAAAACACAATTTACAGGCCCATCACCTAGAAAAGCAAAGCAAGAGAGAAAACGAGAGAGACGAAGCGATTGGAAATTTTCAGAAGTTTATTCAATCAGTTTATGCATTGGAAGAGTTTGCTGGATACAGGAAGTTTTTATCACCTGATGACAAAAAAGATGTTGATAATGAGTGTATCGAAATGAACACATTTTTGAGCACAAATCCGGTAAGTCTTCTAAAAACTTTTCTTTTCATTAAAATTAAATAGGTAAATATTTCAATTTACATATTTAAAGGGAACATTCTTATCTTCATTATTTAATATATAACATAGTT